TCTAATTTTAACATATATTTCGAATATTAAAGAATGATGCCAAAACCCTAAAAAGTGCCCTAACCCTACACCTAACCCTAACCTAACCCTAACCCTAACCCTAAAACCCTCCAACCCTAACCTACACCCTACCTAATTAAATTTAAAATGATATGTTAAATTATTAGAACCGTGCTAGTAAAACATATCTACCACCCTTTCAGCCGGCTGCGAATTACTCCGCGCGTGACGTCACTCTGTCCAGCCAAGCATTCTCCTCCAGTAATATGCTTTAGGCTATCTCCAGCATAGAATTCTAGAATAACATTTTTGCTCAGTACATCTCTCGTTTATAATCTGGAGAGCGCTCTTAGCCTGTATAGGGGTGCAAAAACTCATACTTTCACCTCCCTCCCGTCCTCCCCTTCCTCTCCGGTCCTTGCTCAGTCCTCCTTCTTCGTCTACCCCTCATGCCATCTTTCTTGCCGTCTTTTCTCAGTCTCCAACCCCTCACTACTCCTCTCAAGCAAGCTATATAAGCAGTTTTCTTCAGTTCGTTCTGCACGCCTGAAAACGTAGTCTGCGCATGCGCCAATATCTCCGCGAATAATCATTATTTCGCAAAAGAATTATGCATATAAATATGAAGAGGAGTGATCCTAGCATAGATTATATAATAACATTCTACATTAGACCGCATTAAAAAATAGGAAGAAGATCATTCCATGTAAGTCCCGCCGCATACACCAGTCAGTCCAAATCGGCTACCGTTAGTGTGTCTAGCGCAGCCCAATAATATCACCCAAAGTTATATTTTTGTATGAATATGCGAGTTTAATATCTTAGGAAGGATATTCACATAGATTTGTATAGAAATAAATCTTTATAAAGATCTGTGTTTAATTGATTGCAATAGCGCCCTAGCCTGTAGGTGTCCAAACTACATACTTCACCCCCTTCTCTCATTCCCCTTCTTCTTCCCCTCCGTGGCCCAGCCCCTTCTTCTTCTACCGCCTCGCTATCGTTCTGCCGCCTTTCCCTCAGTATCCACCCCCTCTCCTCTCAGCAAGCTATATACAGCATTTCTTCAATGTCCGCTGCGTCGCACGCCGAAACCTGCTCGCTGCGTTGCGCAATATCTCCCGAGATAAGAAAATATTTGTTGAAAAAAGTTCTGCCATTAAACGGAATAGGACTGACTTCTAGCATAGTATAGCTATAATAACAGTTTATCAGTAGACCCTTCTGAAGAATGAGGCAAAAGACGTTGCAGTATACGTTCCTGCTGACTATACCAGTCATACACAAATCTGGCTACGTTAGCTTTACGCGCACGCGCAATATTACAGCCGTAGTTATATTTATTGATGAATATAGCATTTCAAAAATGCTTTAGGGGGTATCTCGATAGATTTATGCTAATATATTTTATCATTGCGGCGCTGTTTATAGTTACGCACGACGCCTTAGCCTGTAGGGTGCAAAACTCCTACCTAGTTTGTGCTTAAATTGCAAATTTTTTGAAGGATCAAAAAAAGATTTGATTGACAATTTTTTGTTGTTTTTATTCATTTTTAAATTTAATTCTACTGTCAATAGACAAGGACTATGAAGAAATAAACATGCAGAATAAACCGCAATAACTATGCAAAAAACGAATGTAGGCGACAATGGTAATTATCTAAAACAGAAAACAATGTTATATCTAGTAGCCAAAAGCAATTGATTATAATAATGAACTACTCCAAACCAACACCAATGGCACAGCAGGTAAGTTTCACGCACGCACGCACGCTATGCAGCACGCACCCCGCATTCCACGCACGCCACGCATTGCACGCACGCACGCATTCGCAATATATTTATATATGATATATATATAATATATATATATATAATACTATATGAGGTATATGTATATATATAATATATATACTACTATAATATACTATGATATATTAGAATATATATATGGGGGTTGTGGTGGTGTGTGTGGTGTGTGTGTGTGTCGCTGTGTGTGGCTGTAGTGGTGCTGTGCGGTGTGTGTTGTAGTGCTGTGTGTGGTGTGTGTATGTGTGTGTGGCGGTGGTGTGTGGTGTCGTGTGTCGACGTACGTGCCGTCCTCCGCGGCTGCGCGTGTATAAATTTGGTCCAGCCCAGTTTCCGGGAAGGTGCCTGACAGAGAGCTCTGTGACTTGACGGTCAAGTTAGGAAATGTAACCGTAATCACGTTGCATCGGTCTACGACAACATAGGTAACAACCTGACGCCACAGGAACTAATAAATCCCCACCCCCCTACCCGCCGCAGGATTCATAGAAGCTTCCGTTTCTTCCGCGGTTTCCCCAAGAATTCAACAAATATGCCTGGTAAATTTCGGCGCGTGTATGTCAGCATGCTAGCGCCTAGTCTCTCCGACGACCACAGAATGTCGATCACGTGCTCCTCACGTGCTCACACCTAATCTAACGTATGACCGAGCTATTAGATTAATACAGAGCTTAATCTCCCTTATTCTCAGAATTCTGCGGCGACCCGTAACTGCATATACGACCCATTGAAACTAGCGCAGCGTTTGTTGTTCTGCAGATTGCTGGTTTGGAGATGATTCCTGTTCCACGCAAAGCGAAATACAGAGCGCTGGTCCATGTTCGCCTTCTTCGCTCGGACTCGTTGCTTAGCAAGCAAAAGCAGACGGCGCCAGTTGCGCTTCGCTTTTCGCTGTACTTTGTTGCTCGAGCCAGCAAATACAAGAGCGGGGTCATGTTCGCTCGCTCTTCGCTGCGATTTTCGCTCGGCTTCGAAGCTCAAGCCAACACGAGCCAGCGAAGTCCAGCGAAATGAACGCGCAACATGGCCGCGCCTGTATTTTGCTTGCCTACCGAGCAACGAAGACCCAGCCGAAGCTCCAGCCAAACGAAGCGGAACAGGCCCCCGCTCTGATTCGCTTGCTCAAGACAACGAAGTCCAGCGAATCCTACAGCGAAACGAAGCGAACATGACCCTGCTCTGGATTCACGCTTGCTCGAGCAACTGAAGCCCGAGTGAATCCGGCGAAAGCGGAAGTGAACATTACCCAGTCTCAATTTGCTAAGTCTCCCTCTATATACGCCTATATATATTGAATATCTATTTCATACTAACCCCCCTTGGATATCCTATATTCATATCCGCATGTCACCCCCCCCCCCACCTTTATATCTCCGTTTATATCACGCCATTAATGACATTAAAGTTGGGAACCGCTCCATAATGGAGCATCACTCTACTGAAAGGCTTCCATACGCTGCCCGGACTGCAAGAAGTATCGGTTCGGGCTTCGGCTCATCTAAACGTGGCCCGTATAATAAGCTGTAGCAGTAAGCAGGGGAAACCCTGCGCGTAGGTCGATAATCAGTGGTAGCCGACAATATCATGAGATGCGTCGCCTTCATGTACGAATGGGCTTATCTTCCAGTCTTACCGCCGACGACTAAGTCGGAAGCGTCAATTTTTCCAATGCCACTTCATCTCCCACGTCTGCCGGCGCGTGGCAAAGATCCGCTGCGGACGACAATCGAACGTTACTCATACGCCAGCCGAGGCAGCCTGCAGTCCATCGGGTTGTCAAAAGGCGAGAGACCGCGAGAAGACATGTCAGTAAAAATGCGCTCAATACTAATAGTTCTTCACTAGGCTGTCTGAACCCGCTTGGCAAGAGAGCACCCGTTTGTTTCACGCGGCGTCCGGAATGCCTCTCGCTATCAACCTCCCTGACAAACGCTCGCTAGTCTGCGCGCGACGGGGGGGGGGTGAGATGTCTTACGGACCTGTGGTATGTAGTATAAATTATTAAAATTTATTTTATAATCGTAGTGATATAAATAAATAAATAAATAACATAATAAAGTATACATACTATATTATACATAATATATATATCACCAGCTTTCAACGATTCTCGTCATTATTTAGGCGATTCAGCGAACATTCTGGGAACGTCTAATAAGTATACCGGATATGCGGTATATTGCTCCAGCTCTCCGGATACAAGCGAGAGCATCAAATCATGTCCCTGCTCCAGATGCCTGAGCTTGTTTGGTAGAAAAAGTACACTTACTTCATCGGAAGTCCGTGCGAAAGCTCCTACTCGACTCGTCTCCTCAGGTCGAACATACATAAGTCAAAGCCATCTTGCAATAAATACCAGTATAATTATTAAACGAATTAGGTACACATTATGGAGCTCTGCGCTAACAGAGTGCAGCCTATATAACAATTTGGTTGTCCGAAAATACGAACGTTTCTATATCAGAGCTGTCGGATAACCAGCACACGCTGACGAGGTTATTCATAATGCTGCTAGACAAAACCTCACAATTACTGATTTCGCACTAGCTTATCATAATCCACATGAGGATTCATCGTACCTAGACCATGGTAACTCGCAATATTTGTTAATCGATTAGATCGCAACTGCCTCTAGCTGCTTTAATCCCGACATGCTCCGCTTAATAGAAGGTAGCCTTCCGTTCTTAAATCAGTTTCAAGAAAGTGACATCCGTCTATGTGTTTTCGAAGGCCCAGCATCGATGCGGCCGGATGCTATTGTATTCTAGCATCAAGAACTTGGACACTTTTCTCAATCCGGGAGAACGTGCCCGTCCGCTCGAGAGCGGTCAGCATTATTGTATCTCCAGCATCACGCCGTGTGTGTAGAGTGTCCCCATTCGGCAAAGAGCCCCGGTTTCGATGAAACCCGATGGTTATGCCACAAGTCCAAGTACTGAAAACAGTTACGGGATGAAATCGGCTTAGACAGGACAATGCTGCATCCACTAAGTTTTAAAATCGAGTGTGGATTCGTTGGACAAACGATACGAAATGCCCATCGACGCGATGTCGTGGTGAACACTGCTAATAAACACACTGTGAAGTTTACTAACACTCCCACCGCAGCTCATTCGCCGCTTAACAGAATGCTCTACCTCTAGCTTTAGATAACCTCCACGCGTCGCCAATGCCTATGAGAGCCGAATTACCAGAAGAAAGAGCCTACGTAGTCGCGTGAAGGGGGAGAATATTCTGTCAGGCAGCGTGGTGAAGCGATTGTAGCTGAGATGCAGATATTCTGAAGATAATGATAGAAATTATCATCCGTGTCACATCGAGATTCGCCTGAAATGATTGTCATCTATTTTTACTCCTTAATTTTTTTCATCAGGACAGAGCTCTCTCGTGTCTTCTAAATCCCTGTTTCAATCAGTGAATACAGTCGCGGGATGGTTGGGGGACGAGGGTGTCTATTACCTGTATCCCAGGTAACAAAATATATTCCAATTTCTAGGTAAAAATTACATGTCAATTTCTATGTAAAAAAGTATGCCAGTTCCCAGTTAAATAAAATCGCAACCACCCCGCTATTTTAAATCTTAAAATCATCCTAATTTTAAACATTTATCCGGCATTCCCCAGCTATCAGATAATTAAAAATGGCCCAATCCCGCGTCCACAAAATAATATAAACCGCTCCAGTGCTCTTGAGATTAAAAGGAAATCGTTAAAAACGACTACCGCACCATGCCTCTCTAAGCGGTGACTGCATGCAATGCCGCCGTACGGTCATGCGAACTACACGGAGCACTTACCGACATGGCTGACAGAGGGGAAGATCACCGACGGCACCTCGGTCATCTGCAGCCCCGACATGATCAGCTCCGTCAGGCCGCGTATACCCGCGAACGACTGCTCATTCATCGTCGGTCGGCTGGAGTCGCTGACTCTCAGCGAAACTATCTTCAGGCCGCTGAACATGCCTGCCGGTATCTCGGTCAGGTCGCCGAAGCCGCCGATGTGAAGGCGACTCATCGTCGTGTTCTGCAAGCGGCCAACGATGGCCGTCATCTCTGCCGCCGACATGTACGAACCGAAGCAAGAGACGCTCGCGCCGTCGTGATCATTGAGGCAGGTGCATGGAGAAATGACATGATCCTCTGGGCAGAAGCTCGCTGCTTGTGCGGCCGCTGTCAGCAGCAACAGGAGCGATGGAAGAAACTGGAGCCACATCTTCGTGTCAGCTAGCATCAGAGTGTCTTAACTCACCTGCGTCTAACTCTGGCAGAGGGAGACTATTTATATGCTCGTGGAGCGCCAGGTCCGACTTGCGGCAACACATCGCAATATGACGCAACATCTTTACTAATTATAGCCTTATCGGGTTCCAATAGTCATTGAGTATTTACTGATGATAACGGAGATAGTAATCCGAAATGTCTGTTAAGGATACTCTCAAGGTTTTAGGAAAATTTTACCGATTTTTTAATTTTCAACTTTATTCGATGGCTAACACTATGTGCCACATGTGTA